CTCTCTCTCTCTCTCTCTTTCTCTTTCTTTCTCTCTCTCTCTCTCTCTCTCTCTTTCTCTCTCTCTCTGACTCTCTCTCTCTCTCTTTTTCTCTCTCTCTCGCTCTTTCTTTCTCTCTGACTCTCACGCTATCTCTCTCTTGCTGTATGTCTCTTCACTCTCGTTCTCTTGTTTATACCCCCAGCTTGGCCGATTTATTATCATTTGTCAACTTTGTCACGGCTATATAGGTGTTGTACAACAGTAGAAGGCGTCTGTTGTAGTGTAGGGGCTGCGTGCCAATTACGTAGGGGCGCTTCAACAATTAAGTTATTGTTGTTATTGTGATGACATGGGACGTCGTGCTCGTATATACGTAGCCCCACCGCGCACCCTAATATTACATTCAATTTCGCATTAATATGTTACTGATAGTAGAAGCAGCTGGTAAGGTCCAGGAAGGGTAATCTTAACCGATTACCTGCAGCTATCATCTGCCACGGGGCGCGTCGGCTGGTGGCGGATAGCCGAACGGCCTGTATATATATATAGGTTAGCTGCGAATATCCAAATAAGCAGTCGCGGACCAAACTGTTGGGTGCTGACAATAATCCTTAGCCTGCGAGGGCACATTGTCCAGGAGAAGGAAAACTCTGATTTCAAACCACCTGCTGCCTTGCAGAGTGTGCCTTTTTAGGCAAAGGCTATGGCCCACTATATACCGATAATAGTGGTTGGTGTTAGAGGTCCGCCGTTCGGAATGTGGCGGCTCCTTCCCATTTTCGATGTTTATAGTTTATAACTCTACCGTTTATCGTTTACCGTTTGCGCAACCAGCTTCACTGCTGCCATTGTTAACCCTGCCCGCGTGAAATAACTGCCGCCCACGTGTTTATCGGTTCACGGGTTGACTATCAAATTGCGGTTGAAGGTTTGCAACGGTGATTCATATATGACAAGACGACACAAGCGTGTGCACGCGGAAGTACGTTTATCTATTATGATTCAACTTGACATCTAGCGTATAATCAGGCAAGTGCAATGTTCGATTAAAGCGATTATTAATATTTATATTATAACTCTTATTTACTTATACTGTAGTGCGATATACGGTAAACGGTTATTCCCGTTTACAGGTTATTACCGTTTACAGGTTATTACCGTTTACAGGTTATTACCGTTTACTGTTATGACCGTTTACAGGTTATTACCGTTTACTGTTATGACCGTTTACAGGTTATTACCGTTTACAGGTTATTACCGTTTACAGGTTATTACCGTTTACTGTTATGACCGTTTAACGCTAATTACCGTTTATAGTTTATTGTTGGTTGCAAACCTTGGGCAGAATTAAGCATGGCAGCAGTGAAGCTGGTTGCGGTGTGTGTATTGTGCGCAGCCTTAATAGTGCCGGTGAGGACGCAGTTCCTGCAGCAACCATATGACACGGAGGCAGTTGAAGGTACCAATGTTACGGTGCACTGCACGATTGACCTTAGTTTCAATTCCGGGGTAGATTTACCCATTTTCGTTTATTGGTATCGTGACGGTTCCTACGTAAGTCCTACTAATGAAGAAAGATATTTCTACATTGACGACAACAGGTACGACACAGGAAACTTTGGCTTGCTTATATCTAACGTGAGAGTTGAGAAAGATGACGCAGAGTTTTATTGTGTATGGCAGCCAGTCGGTGCCGCGCCGGGTAACGGCCCTTTATCTAACAAGGGTCATCTAACTGTGCTTGTGCCACCACAGTCGGTTGCCATGTCTCTTATAGACAGCTCTTCATCACCGGATGGAACGCTACAGTTCTCGTGTGTATCAGACAGCAGTAAACCAGCAGCTAACGTTACCTGGAGGCTGAATGGTGCTGATATTACGGCCGACTCCAGTCAAACAGAAGAAGCGGGTTCAAGAAACAAGACATTTACAGCAAAAAGTATCCTGAGTCATAGGTTTTCAACGGAAGACATTGACAAAGAACTTAGTTGTCATATCTTCATTCACCAACGTTTACCCGAACCATCTTACACGTGGTTAATTAACACGACGGCCAGGGGATACAAGCTGCAGGCGTCTAGGTGGTGATCGAGCGAGTCGTTTAAACACAGAGGATTGTACGCGTGTATAGCAACTAGTGTGTTTGGAGCATACATGTCGAGTAACAAGTTGATTGTGACCGTGTTAGTGCCAGCAAGGAATGTCACAATGACGATAGACGGTAATAATGTAGACGGTAATATGACAATACTTGCAGGATCCCTTGAGGTTAGCTGCACTACAGAAAAAAGCTTTCCGGGAAGAACAGTAACATGGAAGCTTAGGGATACATCAAACTTCCATGTCACTGTTCCTCCAGAAAAGCTGTTCTCCACCCAACTAAACAGCAAACATCATGCAGTAGAGCAGTATGACTCCGGTATCGAGGATATCTCGATCACACATGCAAGTCGTCACGAACAAGGGAATCCGCGACCAAGTGAAAGAACGAGCCAACGAGCCTGGTCCGACGAACCACAAAATAACGACGAGGGCGGTTGTCATGGCTCTACCGGTAAACCCAACCCAATTCTACCCCCACAGCATGCTCTTCCCACACTGATTCATTACAATACGTTAGTTCTAACAGGGATTTCAACCGTGCGCTGAGCACAACGAGTACTCCACAAACTGACCTGTCGTTTTATGCTGGCAGCAGTGGCGTCACCGTAGTTGACGGTCGCCTGGACACCCTCGTATGAGGACCTAGCGCGGGCGCGGACACTGGCTTCTCTCGTGTTGATTATATTATGTGCATACAGCGCACTATAGTTAGAGAGTTTTATTAATCGGCATGTTCTCGCAGCAAAATATATAGAATATATACTATATATATATAGTATAATTATATATAATAACATTAGGAGTGAATAATAGATATTCTCTATTATCCTGATAATATTGTATATATAATATTATTTATTAATCGGCATGTTCTCGCAGCAAAATGCATAGATATACCTACTGTGAGCTCGTCCATGTTATAAAAATTCACTACAACTTATTTGTATTGCTACTTTCACAACATTTCTTTATAAAATCTAAACGGCAGGGTACACATCCGGTACACGGCCGAGCGAACGTTGTACTGCATTAACAGTTCTTTTCTATAATAACACATGTTATACTTTATTGCTCGATGTTTACTCAGACTCAGTACGAAATTTGGAATTTGGAATTTGCGCTAGCGTAGGCCTACTGTTGGCATCCTCACTTCAAAACAACTTATATTTATCTATACGCCGGCACCCCCTCGGGCGGAATTTCGGCGAAATTTCCGAAAGTGTAAACTTTGGAGCACATTTCTGGCTCAATGAAAACATTTCGTGATGTTTTCATACTGCAAGTATGCTCACAAGGGTGTATGTAGGCTTTTTGTTCGAGGCACTTTAACATGTGTGTTTGTTACTGAAATTACTCAAAAAGGTAGCACTATCGATTTTCGGTATAAATTTTCGGTATTGTTATGTTTTGGTGGTACAGTATCTTATTATCAGCATTAGTAAATCGTTGTTCACAATATATTGAAAAGATATCAAACTTATTCACTCGTCAACGAATATGAGATGTGATACACATGAAAATGTTCCTTTGTTAAACTTTATAATTAAATAATATTGTTCAATTAAACGCTTATGGGATTATATATAATTAATTAAATATTAGAAATTGTAGATTTAGTTTGGTATCCGTGCTTATAACGATTTATTCCTCAGCTCGGATCTCCCGCAAAAGCACATTTTATAACACAGACGAAGACAGCAGAATATCACAACCACCTTGCTTGATGTGGTGACGTCACTTGATATCCAATCATAAGCGTAGCATCATATCACAAAGCTGATACGTCTCAAGTAGTCAAGGGTTACAACTTGTTTATAACATACACCAACCTCGTCGCTGGCTGCTGTTATGCGTTTATCACATTGTGCTGATGTGTGCTCAATATGAATAAAATCAAGAGCTAATAATAACAGCTCTTATTATTAGCTATTATATTGTAATAATTATAAGTAATATAGCTCCTGGGAACAATGAAATTGCAATGAATGCGCATGAAATCAACAGTGCAGATTACACACTAAAATAACGAAGGGTAATTTGTAGTACTCCATGCTCTAACTAGATATGTGACATCCTAATCTGATTCTGGACTAGACCCTAACCCTAACATGAACTTGTTTTGTGTGTGTACATAGAGCCGAGTGCGCGCATGCGGGCGTGCGTGCGTGCTTGCGTGCGTGCATCTGTTGTGTGTATGTGCGTTTATCATGACGAATTGACGATCCTGTCGCAGTTTACTCTGAGGGTTGTTGTAGTAGGATTAAATATGATATATATGATATATATGATAATATGAGGTACTATAATGTGCGTGTGCGTG